CTCTAGGGTCACCAGTATATGTCGCTCTAAACTGGACATGCGGCAAGCAGTGGAGGAAGATGGTCTCCTTCAGAGCAGCCCAGTTGGGTCCTTCGAATACGTGCTGGGGAAGCCGCTTCCCGCTGCTGTCTCGTGCGAAGACCGTGTCCTTCACATGAATGTCTGCGCTCATACGGAGCAATGGGTTATGTATCGAAACTCCTTCAGAGAAAGGTGCAGTTGGTGTCGACTCGCTCTCGTGGAGATGTTGGTGAGGTGGTGGTGGTGTCCGCATTTGGCTCGGTGGCAACTAGTGACAAAGTCAAATTTAATTGGACGATATTACTGTTCTATCTTCTCGATGATTGGACGGAGTTGTCTGCCGATTCATCTGTCGATTTCCATCTGTCGATTGATTCGGCACGTAGGTCCAGTTTTGAATCGACACGACAATAAAATACTCTCCATTCTCGTTGTGGGTTATTTTATTGAGATACAAAATTCAATATATTTCTTTAAAACCACTGGGGGCATTTTTCCGTCGCTCGCTTGTTCTACCATTGTTCAAATACTATCTCAAAGCCAACTTGGTTTTTGTCATAAATTCGTGTGCGATGTGGAGAATTCCGTCCCCATACGAATTTTTGATGATTTTGTGTACATTTGATGAAATCGAGCCTTTTTTCGTTCCTCCAGCACGTACGGTCGATGCGCACTCGTCACATGCACGGGACGTGGTGGCTGCATGTGCAAAAGCACAGAGAGCTAATCGCTTCATCGCACGACAAAGCTGTTAGACTCGACCGTGCCATAGTGTGAACTGCCCCGTCGGGCCTCTGTTTCCTTGAACGGGATGGCTTCATTCAGTCGTGGCGAATGACTACACAATACAACCATGAAATGGCGTGTGACACGAGGCAAACGTACTACGGGGACGCTGGAGGCGTGCTCGAGTCCGAGTCGCGGCGCTTCATCAAGCCGCGCCAGCCCCGTCGACGCCGCGTGGCCTCCATGTCGGCGATAAAGTAGTCGACCACGACGGCCTGAACGACCTTGACGACCAGCGTGGCGCAAGGAAAGAGGGGCAAAGGCCGCGTGACGTATGGAGCGACGAGCTTGTCCGACTCGATGTAGCAAATCACGATAGCGACGGCGACATTGACGACAGAACATGCATTCCACAGCCCGTACTTGCGCGCAAATGTCGGCGACGACGTGGTGAGCGTCACAATGCCGCAAATGGGAGAGACGATGATGGCAAAGGGGTACACGAGGAGCACGGGCCACAGCACGCCGTTCGTGCACGACCGCATTTCCATGCCGTTTTCCACGCACTTGAGATTCACGAGCATGCCGAGCGTCGTGGCCAAGTCCAAAAAGACCGCCACGGCAATCGTCATGTACAGGATCCACGACCGCGTCACCATCGTGGCCTTCATCACGTTGGACGGCACAACGACGCGGTGCATGTGGCACACAAGTTGGTTTCTCGTCTGGACGTGGTTCTGGCGCTCCTCCAACGCGTCGGTATTGACCAAAATACCGGGAATCGGCAGCATCTCGTCGATCGGGGCATTCCACCCACTCGACATGCGACACCCAGACGATGGCGGCTTTGTGGGCGACCACACGTTGGGATTCTCGAGCAGCGCTTGTTCGCGGATGCCAATCGTGGACGATGCCGAGAGGGACGGCGCGACCTGGTCAAACAATCAGTCGCGACCGGTCGCGAGATACATACCTGGACGCTTTTCTGGATGTGGACGCACGTGAGAAAGAGTCCCCACTGGTAGCGTTGGTCCTTGCCGCCTGTGAAAAACCGACCGAGGTGCATGCGCAATCCCCCCAGACTCGGCGCGCGTTGGCTTCGCATGTGGTGGCCATTCTTTTGCTCGCAAAATCTCGAGACACGCATCAGGTCGCGCAGGCTGTGCGACGCATGTTGGACGTTGACGACCCGCAGCATCGCATTCAAGTCGGCAATGATTTCGATCCAGGCTTCGTCGATAAACGCAGTCAGCTCGGGCGACTGCGGCACACTTCGGACGAGCAAGTCGTTCGGATCCAGATACAAGGGCGATTCGTACGTGCCGAGCCCGGCAAACAGCAGCACGAGGGGCAAGTGCGGCTTGCCGACAATGCCAGGAGGTCGCGGAATACAGCTCGACGGGTTGTTTTCCACGTACAGCAGCTCAATGTACGCCAGCGAGTAGTCTGCGCAGTACCCGAGCTTGAGAGCGTTCGCCATGGACCGCGATCGCGCGCCGAGCATGCACTCGTGGTTGTATTTGGACATCCATCGCTTGAGCGCATTGAATTTCTTGTGGCGCCGGTAAAACATCACGTCCGACGCGAGGGGGTAGCACAGCATCTTGGTCAGGTTGAACAGCATGCTGCCGCCCGTCGAAAACGCCAAAATCGAATTCACGTGCTCGGCCAAGTTTTTAAACTTGTCCTTGTCGAGCACGAGGTCGAGGCCGCGTGGGACGTCGGCATGCAGCCGCAGCGGATTCTCCTGCGTGTTGTTGCCACTCAAGTAGATGCGCGCCATGTGGATCTTGAGCTCGTTCTCTTGCAATTTGGGATACCCCACGCGCGGCCAAATCATCCTCGACAGCCGATGCTTGTACCACGGACGCTTGGCCAACAAGTGGTCCTTCTCCAGCACGTTCGACGACGACTTGTCTGGTGTGTACAGGTCCTTCTTGCACAGATATCCTGCGACCACAATCGACACGAGGGCCCCAAAAGCCACCACAAAAAACACGAGCTTGCCGCCAAACATGTCGAAAAAGTCATCCAAAGGCGATAGGCAATGGATGCCAGTGTAGCCCGGGTCACACGACCACAAGCACTCGGACGACGTCGACCCTATCGACCATGAGCGCCAGCATTCCCCGAGGGCGACGCACCGTTGTGGGTATAATGCGCGTTGACGGGACTGTTTTTGCACACCAAGCACTCGGAGCTGCCGCGCTCTTGCTTGAACGACCCTTTGTCGCATACCCGGCACATCAAGCCACCGTATCCTGGAGGGCACGGAAACCCAAAGTACGTGCCAATGCTGGCTCGCGCCGTTTCCTTGTCGGCTTTGCCACCCATCACGGAATACGTGCCTGAAAAGTTTGTCGTGCAATCGTTGAAATTCTCGCACCCCAACAGGCGCAGTCGACCGCCGCCACCTCCGCCGCCACACGTCCACGTCGTCGCGTTGGCGCTGCTTCGGTACGCATCTTGGCTGCACGACGCATTCCCCCCCGACGCAGACAAGTACCCCGTGCCAACAATGCCATTCAAAATCGTCAGACCAATGTAGCCGCCAGACCCACCCCCGGCACGCGCGGCGACGCCATTCTGCCCGTTGGCCAGGATGCTTCCGTTCAATTCGACTCGATACGCTCCCAACATGACGAGGCCACCCCCCGTGCCGCCGCCAAAACAGCCTCCACCAGAGCCCAAGTACCCAGTACTCGATCGTGACCCATACGAAAGGCCACCGTCCGAATGAACCACGTCCACATGCCCAGACTGGATCTCGACAGAGTCGGCTCCATCGCCGCCGTAGCCACCTCCACCGCCAGACCCGTCCGTGCAATCGCCTGCTCCCAAACCGCGCGTCGCAGGGTATCCAAGGCCGGTCGCCGACACGACCGACTTGTGTCCAACGCGAATGGATTGATTGCTGCACAGCAAGATGGAGCTGCCCGACAACAAGCTCGGCTTGGTTTGCTGACCGAGATCAATCGATCCTTGCGAAGTCAGCATCAACGTGTAGTTTAGCGTCGCCGGGTCCGCGCCCACCAACTGCGAGCACGGCGGGTACTGGGCGCTGTCGACGGCAGTTTGAGCATTCGTTTGAATCACGCCGGTCACGACCATGTTGATTGTCGACGCGGCAAACAACGTTGGCGTCGAGATCGTGCCGTCCACGACCAGGTTGCCGCCGCTCTGGATGACAAAGGTCCCGCCGCCGTTGGTCGACGTGGTCGAGACGTTGCCATTGATTTGAACCCCGTCCGACGCGACAAACTTGGACGACGCTTGAGGACCCCACGTGACTTTGGCGCCGAAGTCGATCGACAAAATGTCGGCCGTGACGTACAGTCCGGCCGACGAATGCAAGATGCTCGTGCCGCGAACCACCAGCTGCTTGACAAACACGTGCAAGGGCGCCGCGGCCACACCGACCAACGTGGCATCCTCGACAATCAACTCGCTGTCTCCATGCATCCCCCACGTTGTGCCGTCGAATCGGACGAGCGACTCGCCTTCAATGAGTACTCGTTTCACCGATGGATCGATGCTGCCAGTGTTAAACACGACGGGGGCGCACCGGCGAACGTTCGAGCTGGGGCCGTTGAAGCCATTGCTGATGACCAAGTAGCCGTCAGTGCCTTTGTTTGAAGCAAATATGCGAAGCACTTGGCCGGCGGCCCCGGACAGGCAGTTGGCCGTCCACAACACGTCGTCGTCGTCGTCGACCGCGTGGACGTTTGCATGCGGGTCCGAGTTCAACGGATTCGCTCCACCAGAGACCACAATGCTGCCGGTTTCAGTCGCGACGGACGTGTACAGAAGCGTGACAAAGCCGCCATTGCCTCCTGGAGTGCATTTGCCATCGATGCAAATGCCTTCGCCGCCCGATGCACGGATTTCGCCATGCAAGACAAACGACGACGTCGTGATATTCACTCGGCCTCCAGAATGACCTAGAGCGCTATGAGCATCGCCAAAGAATGCACAGGGTCCATTGTACCTGGCCACGATCCACCAGATATGATGGTGGCGTCTTGGTCGAGGCGGAACTTTCGCGACGCGTTCACCGCCAGAGTCTCTTCAATCACAAACAAACTCGTGTCGTCCATGAACAAGTCCAACGCAGTCAACTGAAACGACGTCATCGACACGGACGAATTGCTCGTCATGTGGAACAATCCATTCACGTGCCACGTCAAGTGCACGCGGCACGTTGGCTGGGACGACATCGTGCCCACGGTCGTTGCGAGAACGACATCATTTGCAGATTCCCACACACAGTACAGATCCGAACCCACACACGGAAACTGAACGGCGGCGGACACCACGCACTCGACTGCGTTCGGGTCGTTGCAAACCAAAGGGGGACACACGACGGGTGTTGGGGCGGCAGCAGTTGACCATGTGCCCACCGGCGTGCTTGGCACGTCAACAGGACTGGATGGCAAGTTGTCCGGGAGACTGCTCACTAGAGCTGCCCCAATACTGGCAATACTCGCGAGCCGACCAAGCCATGCCGCGCTCATCCCTCCTCCGCGAGACAGCCGACCGACCGGCGCGTGAGGAATTGCGATCTGGTGAAGTTCTGCAAGTTGCCGCAAGGTCACGTCGGGGCCCAATCAGGATCCACGGAAGCTACTAGGGATTCAGCGAGGGGTACTAGTCTGCCTTACTAGTTTATTTTTACTCGGTCCGTCGTCAAGTCACGCGGCCGATCGACCGACCACCTGACGTGCCATGATGAGCATGCCCGTGGCACATGACGCGGCGAGCGCGGTTGCGCGCAGCTCACCGACCAAATGGTCTGGGTTGGAGCAGGAAGATCCCACTGCAAGCGGGGACTTGCAAAAGCCAGTGGCTGACAAGTTGCCGGTACAGTACCTTACTTCAACAGCGCGATCGGAAAATGCGAGGCGCCCATCCGCCACGTGCTCTGTAGAACTTGCCCGTGAGGCTTCCACAGGTGATGACGGAAGGAGGGCGAGGAAAGACCAGAATGACCCACTCGGCAACAGTCTCTCGGAGTCAAGACAAGGTCCGCTCGCTGCCTCGACAGCGGCGCCACCAAACGATGAGCAAAATCACCGTGGCCGACAACGGAGCACCGACGCGGCCTGGGGATCCTGCGGTTACCTCCACGAAAAGTAAAGACATCTACAGACAGCAGCAACCCAGGAACGCGAAGGCGGACCAAGACGAAGCACAACAGAACAAGCAGCAGCGTCATCGCGCCGAAGTGTACGCGATCAACGCGCGGATGCGCGAGTTCAGCCAGGAGCAAATCGCCATGTTTCTGCGATCGCAGCAAAGCGACAACACAGTCAGCCCGATGGGGGTGTAACATTATAGTGACGAAACAATGCCCTACTTGCGCAGCTTGGCGTACAGGCGGCGGTACAGCGCCTCGAGCTCCTTCTTGGCCTCGCACGGCGGGAAGTTCTCCAAGTCGTAATAGTGCGGCGCCAGTTCGACGAGCCATTCGCCTTTGATGCGCGTGTTTAGCCGGATGTAGTTTTTGCTCGTGAGGACGAATTCGTTGTACAACACCCACTCGGGCTTATCGTCGAGGACGCAGCTCGGGTGCAAGTGCACTTCCTGGTTGTCCTTGACCGTGAGGTACCCGCCTGTGCTTCGCTTGTGCGCCACTTGCATGAAGAACCCCGCCGTGATGCACTTGCGGATGTTGTCGTAGTAGTCGGGATTGTTCATTTCGCCCGCCCGGGCTTGGAGACCGAGACGTTGCAGGTTGCGCAGGAGTTGCTCGCGGACGTTGCTCGCGGACTGAAGCGCGCGGAAGTTGAGGTAGTTTTCGTACGTCCAGTTTTTGTCCTCGTTGTTCAGCTTGTACGCATGGAAGACATTGAGCAAGGTGCAGTGATCGCCGTCGATGTGCGCAAACTGGGCCTTGGCTTCGTCGGCCGCCTTGCCTTCCGCTTTCGGGCGCACGAATGGTTCCGACCCGCTCGTCAACATGGCCGCGATCGTGGTGACTTCGGCGACGCAGTTGTACGTGCCAGAGGTCAAGAGCATCTTGGCAAGTTGCGGCTCCACGGGAAGCATGGCCATTTGGGCGCCGAGCTCGGTGAGATCGCCTTCGTCGTCCAGCGCGCCCAGGTAGTTTAGCATCTCCAGCGCCCGCATGAGGGTTTCGGGCGCGGGCGGGTCCATAAAGTCGAAATGGACCAAGTCGTCGATCCCGAGTTTCTTGAGCGTCAGGACGACAGAGCTCATTTCGGAGCACAAAATCTCGGGGTACGTCTGTTCTTGCAAGTCGGTTTTGAAGGCACGTTCGGTGTACAGTCGGAAGCACTTGCCCGCGCGTGTACGACCGGCACGGCCGGCGCGCTGTTGCGCTGACGCGCGCGAGATCGGCGACACCAACAACGACGAGATGCGGATGCGGGGGTTGTATACCTTTTGCTTGGAAAAGCCAGGATCAATCACGTACACAATCCCGTCAATGGTCAAACTGGTTTCGGCAATGTTGGTCGCGACGACAATCTTTCGGCCGGGTGGGCCGCCGGGGAAGGCCGGCCCAGGCGCCGAGTTGAATATCTTTTGCTGTTGCGCCGGCGGCAGGGTCGAGTACAGCGGATAGACATCGACCGGACCGACCTTCTTTTGATCCAGGGCGTGGCACTCGGCAGCGATCTGCCGGACGCATGTGTCGATCTCTTCTTGGCCGGTTAAAAAGAGCAAAATGTCACCTTCTGGCTCGCACAAATGGATCTGCACGGCCGTGCGAACGGCAGCTTCCACGTAGTCGCGTTGGGGCTCGGGCGTGTAGAATACGTCGACGTGATGCATGCGACCTGGTACGCGCACGAGCGGGGCGTTGTCAAAGTACGTTTGAAATTTGAGCGCGTCCAGCGTGGCACTCATCACGACGACTTTCAAGTCGGACCGTTTGAGAAGCACCTCTTTGAGCAGACCCATCAAAATATCGGTGCTCAACGTACGGTCGTGCGCTTCGTCGAGGATGATGACTGAATACTTGGACAGGAGCGGGTCGTTCATCGCGTGTTGGAGCAGCATACCGTCCGTCATGAATCGCAACAACGTCTTTTCGCTCGTTACGTCTTCAAAACGGATCGTGTACCCGACTTCTTGGCCTAGAACGACATCCATTTCTTCGGACACGCGCTTCGCAATGCTCATTGCAGCCACACGACGAGGCTGCGTACACGCGACGATCTTGCCATTGTCTGTGTAACCTGCTTGCACCAAGAACTGCGGGATTTGAGTCGTTTTCCCACTGCCCGTTTCGCCTTCGACGACTACGACCTGGTTCTTGCGCACATCGTCTTGAATCTCCTTGAGGAATTGGTACACAGGCAGCGTCCGCCTTTTCGCGTACAGACTCTTGAACTTGTTGCTGTACAACGCACCGGTCAATGGGTTCACGACGGGAGGTTCTTCGCTGTCTAGAGAGACCCTGGACATCTTAGAAGGTTTGTTCATGTCGCCGATATCGACACGGTTCTTGCGCTTGACCGTCGACATGGTGGATGGGGCGATGGTGTATCTCTGGGGTGGTTGTGCCACACCAGGGAAATTCATTGGTTGATACGATGGGAATTGGTGGACCAATCAGATCGCACCATTTCAAAATCTTTCGCCAATCAAAATATACCGTGCGAATTAGCCATCACTATTTCGCTCAAATTGTCGCTTCTTGCGGAACACCATACTTTAACCAAGTTAACATTATAGTATAATTTGACTGTATTTTATGAACTGTGCCGCTGGGCTGGTTCATCCAAAAAGCGCTCCCATCAACGATGGCGTCCGAGAACGTGGAGACGATGACCTACTTTGCACACCTCATCCAAGACAAACCCATTCGGTACACGCACCACGGCAAGTTTCTCATCTGCTCGACGTGCCTCACCTAGGCTTGGGCGTGCTGAGGGGAAAGGCAAAGCACTTTTTGCCGCGACGCGGTTCACAGCTGGCCAAGCCATCTTTCGTGAAAAACCCTTTGTTGCAATGCAACATCGCGCCAACCGCGTACGTGTTCGTGCTTTATGCAATTGATCTAAAGTGTTTCTGTGTTTAGCGAACGACACAAGGGTGTGACAATTGCTTCAAGGTGCTTGGCACAGTCGAGGAGCAACTCGCAGTCATGCTGCAAGTTGGCACGGATGCAATTCCGACTGTCCCAAACGCTTTGAAGGACAGTAGCGCCGCACCCACGCAGATACTGACTTGTCCTTGCGGTGAAGTGTACTGCTCGCTGGAATGTCAAGTTGCCGCATGGGAACGATACCATTGCTTGCTCTGTGCTGGCCACCCCGACACTCCCATGCAAGCGTTTGTCGATTACTCCACTGGTAGTGATGCCTCCGTGCGTCGCTCAGCAAACGAGCACGCTCAGAAAAACGATGCAGCGGTGATTTACGTCTCTCCTACAGAAACCAACGAAATCTTCTTGTTGGCCGCGCAAGTCATTTGCTCCATTATCGTGCGATACGCCAAGAGCCAGGACATGGTCCATGCGCGACGCCCCGTCGACGTCTTTTGCAAATTGCCTTGGTGGGAGGTACGATCAGTAGAGTCTCCATGATGCACACTCATGCGGGTAGGTGGTGGCTGTGAACGCCGAGCTCGAAGATGGCCAAACGTTGGAAGAGTACTGCGACATTTTCAAGAACTTGCTGGCGCATACACTGTCGTTGTTTTTGGATGGGTTGCGCTTCAACGTAAGCCACATCATGCTCCACGACAACCACCCGGACCCGGACTCGAGCTTCATGGCGACGATGGATTTTGACCATGCGTTGGACGCGTGCGAAGCGGCGGGGGTGCTGACCCTCGACTTTTTTGCCAACGTCGTCGGCATGTTTGAAATGAACAACATCAGCCTCGAAATTCGCCACCCGCTCAACGAGTTGGCCGAGGAGCGCCACAAGAGCGGCCATGCCCAAGTTGCAACGTGGCTCAGCACCATCTCGGCCACGATCCAAGCCAAGCTCAAGTTGGAACACGAAGGCGACAACGACGATGATGATGACGACCAAGTGGCCGACTGGGACTTTCCAGACCTCGACGGCACAGCGCTGTACTCGCTCATCTGCATGATGAACCACAGCTGCGACCCGAACGTTGCCGTCACATACGAAACCGGCGAAGCCACGGTCGTGGCGATCCAAGATATCGGTGTACGTGCTGCTCTGGGTACACGTTGAAAGGCTCACATGACGGGTTGCATGCAGCCTGGCGACGAGTTGTGCATTGCGTACATCGACACGGACGTTGACGTCGACGAACGACGTGCCCAACTCAGGTACCCTTGCCAGCGTTGTTGTCGGTCCCCATGGTGTGTGTCATGTGGTAGTGAATATCACTTTGAGTGCGCTTGCCCACGCTGCAAAGACGAACTGGCGCAGTAGAGATGCTCCCTCTGTCTTGCCATGTTATTCCCGTTGGCGGCGCTCTCGCGTTCGTTTAAAGCGCATACGTGGCAGCACATCCCGTGATTCCGTTGAAGATGTATGTGTTGTTCAACGGCATGAATTGGTGTGTGATGACCTGTGTCCATGTGAATCACGATCGAATGTCGCCGACATTATACCTTGACCGCTTCTTGAGCCCCGACGCCGCCCAGAATCGCCGCAATGTTGTGGATTTCGACTTCGCTGTTTCGGCATGTTTCAATCCCATGGTCGAGGGTGATCCACTCTGCGGGAAACGATTCCAACGAGTGCGTAGCCATGCTGCGGGCCTTGTCCACAAGCCACTGCGCTTCCTTGGGACAGTTGTTGTCCGCGCCAGGGTATTTTCCAAACTACGAGCACGCATGACGATGATGCCAGGAACGCTCGTTCGGGCATGTACCTCTTCGATGAAAGCTTGAACAGCCCGAATCAAAAAATACCAAAGGAGCGGCGATTGCGTCGAGTTTTCGTCGTCGAAATCCACCTGCTGAACGATCACTCCTGGCCCCCCCAGCGGGTCAACGTACCTCGCTTAAATTTGCTTGCTGCGCTTCGTCCGCCAACGACCTCGTTTGCACCAGCTAATGACACATGATCGTTACTGCGGCCGAGCGGCAGGACAGAGGAACTCACTCGAATGCTGGACGCATGCTTGCAATACTCGGCCACGTCGTCACGGGTGATTCTATACGGTGGGGTGTGAGGTGGAGCCCCAACAACGTTGTCAGCCCACCGAGCAGAGTCTGCCCCCGCTACTTTCAGTAGTGCTGCGGACGTCGCGAAGATTTCATCGCAATCGAGCGCAGCCTTGTTGACGTAGATTTTCTGGAGGGCAATATAGGTATGCGAGAACGCCGTCATGTCGGGCACATGGCCACTTAAGGGCAACGCGCCATGCTTGTCGACGAATTCTGCCAATGCCCGCGCGATGAACCAGAACGAGGACGTCGTGGAAGTGACGTTCACCGACTTTGCGTGATGCAGGACATCCAGGACTTCGTCCGGAATGCCGTCCTGTGCAAGTAGGAGCGCATGCGTGCCGTGAGATCGTGCTACTACCTTTGGCAAACTGTACGCCTTGAACGCGTTATCGTACGCCTCGACAAAGTTGACTTCCTGACCGAACGAGCCGTGGCACTGGGACCGAATGAGCTGCTTGAAGTCGTGTTTCTCGGCGAAAGTTCTACCCAGGAGCAATTACACGGCATAGGGAGTGGCATCGCATGACGAACTTGGGAAGCGCGCCGTGGTGCTTTGCCTTCCATTCTTGCATGGCTTGAATCAAAATCACAACGTACGGAACATGGCCTCGCTCGTACGAGTCCAAGTTGTCCAGGTCAAACGAGTCGGCATATGCCTGACGGGCCAAGGGAATTCGTCATACACCATGCATTCAAGGCAGGCATGCATACCTGCAGTTCGGGAAAGGGTGCGGACAAGCGAAGGTCGTGCCATGGGGAGTCGGGCTTCGAGTCGACGATGGTGTGTTCGGGGATCTGCAAGCGGAGGTATCCAAGTAGTCCATACGAATGCAGCACCTACGACATCGTTGAACGCATGGACATGGGACGAAGTGGTTCACCAAGAGCGGAATGGCTTTGGACTGGCAATGCTTGGCCAGTTTCCCAAGGGTCGGCTCCACCACCTGCGTGGCAATGATCAAGCTGAACTTGTCCACGTACGCAACATCTACATGCACCGCACAAACATCGTGACACTTGTCGAAAAGAGAGATTACCGTGGTCAATCAATTCCGCGGGAGACGTGATGTTGTATGCGCCGCGGACATCGGGATTCATTTCGAGCATCCATTCCGTCACAACTTGGGCCCGCGGACGATTCACATCTTCCGTCTTCACGAAAAAGTTATTTCCTAGATCCGATTCGGACACTACATGATCGTCAACGATCTCGAACGACCCCACTCCCGGCAACACGACGTTCTTCAGGATTTCCGATCCTGTGGGACCAGCATTCAACAGCAGCAACTTGGCCGACATGAGCTGCTCTTGCCCTCGTGCTCCCCAGAGACGCAACTAACGCAGAACCAGCATGACCACTTTATTGGTTGCCGCATTCCCACTCACCTGGCGATCGTACTTGTCCGTGGTTGCCATCGCTGTGACTTGAGGTGGACGAAGGGCGGATGAAGATGGACGTCTTGATGACGAATATTCCGACGCTGATTGGGGCAATTATTCCGTCAAAATATACCGTTCTCGTATTAGGAATACTAGTGCTGTCGACGGGGAAAGTGCACGGGCCAATGTAGTACTACTACTCAATCGGTACTTACTAGCTATGGCGAAAAGATACTACTGCGTTTCTTTCGCCAGCAATTGTCGACCTTTAAAGCATGAGCTACGAAACTCTTGACGAAGCCCTGGACGTCGCGCTGGGATTCTCGCCCAGGTCGACGCCTGAGGGACGGCAGCTGGCCGTGAGCTACCTGTCACAGTACAAGACGCTTCCGTACGCACTGCAGTTTCTCCAAACCTCGTAAGAATTTTGATACGTCAAAATGTGAATTTTCTCATCGACCTGCAGAACAAATGAAAAGCAGCTTTGGTTTGCCACGTCGACGCTGGACGAGTTGGTCCGCTCTCGATTAGACCTGGATTGCTCTGCCTTGATCGCACTGCTCTGGAACATTGTGACGGAACCCACGAACAACTTGCCCAAGTATATCGTGGACAAACTGCGTCTGGTGCTTGTCTTCGCCGTGCTACGCCACAATTCTCTTGCTGAATTCTGCGCCAAAATCCTCAGCGCTGTCGAGACGCTGCAGCCCGATGGGACCGTTCGGCAATATGCGCTGGACGTGCTGAGCTGCCTGTGCGAAGAAATGTCTGTGTCCCAGAACGATTCTCAAGGTTTGTTTCTTGAGCGCACGAGCGATCGGATGGCCCATCAGTCGCAATTTGAGACGTATTTCGCTCCATTTTCTAGTGTGGTGGTCAAGTTGTTGGCCCATTTCCAACAGCAGGTCGCGGCGCAGTCGCCTGCGTTTTCCGAATTGGCTCTGGCCACGACCCTTCAAATTGCCGGGTTTTTGTGCACATTCAACATCCGCGACGGCGGAGTCGTCAGGGATATCATTATGCTTGCCATGGACTTTGCTGCCAACCACGTCCGCATCGATCAACCATCGCGCACGGGTCTGAGGGTGTCGAGTATTGCTGCATGCGATACTCTCTCGACAATTGTGGCCAAGAAGTGGACGCGCGAAGTAACACTGGTCGTCGTGGACTGTGCTTTGGAAGGACTCTTGCGCTTCCTTGCACTTTTCTCGGAACCTGCAATCAAGGCCGTGGACGACGAGTACCTGGACAAGCTGTCTGGGTTTGTCGAGGCCTATTTGACGCATCACCTGCGCCACTTGCACCATGCTCGATACAGCGCGTCGCTGTCGTCGCTGCTGGGATTCGTTGTCGTCCTGACTACGCACCAGCCGCACGTGTCTGGCCTGTTTCATTGCTTGACGGTGTGGGAAGTGTTTGTAACCCACGTGGAAGACGCCGAAGAGAATGGAACGACGGACCGTGTCCTGCTGAGGTCGTACGAGGACGGCTTGATTGGCGTCATGCAGCATTTGGTACAGCGCATGTTGTTTGCATCCAACCAGCCGCAGCTGGACGAGCTGGACGACGAGCCCGTCGCCCCCCGCACGGCCTCCAACGAGCCCGACGTGTTTGGGGACAACGAGCTCGAGATCTCGACTGGAGCGTTGCAAGACCAAGGCCAGGAATCGGCCGAGTTTTCCGACCTCAAGGCGTTCGTGTTTGAGTGCTTCTCCCTCGTTCGACGGATCACTCGGGTACGTTTGCAATCCGGCGGCATGTAACTCTGACTGGTTCTCCAGTTGCCTGGGTGCGCACAACCGCTGCTCACTACGCTGCTCCCCGCAGTCAAGTCGTCGTGTAAACAATTCATGGATATTCACAACACGCAAATCCCGGCCGACGGAACAAACGAGCGCCATGCGGTATACCATCCCATGACAAGCTTGCCTCACCTCACGTGGCACGCAGGTTCATGACTTGACTGTCGAGTGCGCTCTGCTATCGTGTGTGTCGGCTCAACACGTGAGCAACAGCGACGTCCTGGCCGACAAAACGACCGGGTGGGACATCTTGGTCATGTTTGTCGAGTTGGCCGAGTACATCACGACCCACCGTCTGCACTCCCGCGGGGCCGTCTTTGTGGAGCTCGAGGTAATGTACCCCACTGCCTTGTGTCGATGGTTGGTGACATTTGTGGCTAGTGCGAGATCCTGTCGTGCGTGCGACTGTGCACGAGCTGCGTCCCGTTTGTGTTTCAAAGCGGGGGCGCCGAGCCCGTGAAAACCATCGGCGAGTCCATTCTACGAATCGTATTGACGACGCTCGATACGTCGATTGTGCCGTCGCCGCAGGTGGGGGCGACCGATTCTCGCCCAATTCGAATCCAGCGGATCTGTTTTTATGTGTAGAACGTGATGCAATCGGCGCTCAACCTGCTCGCGTGCATCGGGTCGGTCTTTCCCGTGTCGATTCAAGCGGAGATCCCGTCGTTGCGCCAACTGTACCTGGGATTGCAGGAGTTTTGCCTGCACTTGAGCCAGTCGATTCAGTGCAAATTGTACACCGCTCTATCCCACATCATCTTGAGCAGCGGCGACGGCACCGTCGTGTCGGACGCGTTCGCGTCGTTGCTGACGCCAGTGCTCACGTCGTTCGTCGAGTCGGTCGTCACGATGCAGCAAAACGTCCACCGTGTGCTCGAGACGTCGCTGCTGACCCAACTCGTCCGGGACATTTCGATCTGCCGATCCCTTGCGCGAGTCGTTCTCACCAAGCCAAAGCAAGTCAAGGTTGTGTTTTACGCCCACCTCGAGTCTGTTTTGCCGTACTCCCTCGATGCCATTCGCATTTACATGAACGCGCTGGCCCAGTGCAAAGCTAGCCAGCTCCAGGCGGTCGTGTCTGCCATCAACGAGCTCATTTGGCTCTACTCGGACTTGTTCCGGTCGATTCGAAGGGAGCTCCCTAACGACACGGTCGGCCAAACTGTCACGACGTTGGTCGAGCTCTTCCAGCGTAAACACTTGACGTCCAGGTCCAGTCCATTACGTGGCGCGTTCCCGGCATTTTCATGCGGCATGACGTAGACTGGAAGCGTTGGGGGCCCCGGGCACGGCCGTGTTGTGTGCGTTCTTGAAGCTCCTGCGGATTCTCGTGGAAGAATACACACCGACGCTGGCGAGTTTGCTGCACAGGTTGATCGAGTCTGTCCTTGCCGTGGTGCTTTTCATCGTCGTGTTGTTGTAGCATCTTGGACTTGTGTTTCAATACGCTCCATGAGGTTCGCGATGCCGTCGACCGTGTGGACCTCAAGTCGTTGTCCCAGGTCATCTTTGCGCACAACCACCACGACACGGTCGTTCCGTTTTTCATTGCTCTGATGGAAGAGGTGCGTAGCCAACCATGGTCGGAAACGGGCGTCCGTCACCGTCGCCTGCTCCGTTAGATCTTGGAGAATCACTATCGATTCTTCATCATCACACAGACGACGTTTGATGCAAGCGGTCGGCGGGAAAAAGTGTTTGCGAGCGAGATCGCAGGAAAGTACTTCATGACGATCCTCCAGGTACGCACGCTCTGTCGTCGACGTTGGAATGCGTGCCTTGACGACTGGATTGTGCAGGCCATTGGGACGATTTTGCAGCAAGAAAACGTCCCACCGCCTCTGTGCAAACAAATCGTAGTTGCCCTCGAGCGGATTCAAGCGTCGCACGGCATCTTTGGGTTTTCCGCCTTTCGCACGGAAGTTCGCATGGCGTACCTGCACACAATACTGACGCTGCTCACACGTGGCCGGGTGAGTTTGCTCCAAGAAGAGCTCGGACTGCTCCTGTTCCACATTGCCGAAGTCGACATGGCGTCGTTCTTTCAAGTGTGCCTACCCCAGTTTGTCGGAGACAAGTGCCTCGACGCATTGCGGTGCTGGAGTGGACACATGGACGAACCCACGTTTATCAAAGAGCTCGGCCAGTTTCTGAACGACTTCAGGGTCCTGCAAGCCCGCCAGTAGACTATGCTGTCTTGAATAGACTGGAGTTCATTCATCGCTCGGTAACGTGTGTCAAGGAACGGCGCCTCCACGGACGGGAGGCGGCGGCCGCATATTGACAGTCTTCAATAGATTTTCAAGTTATACAGATATTTTGAACACACATTGCGTATGTTGACTTTCTTGATCGACTTCTGTATTCCAATTTGACCATGTCGGAGCACGCCAAGGAGGTGCCAGCATCGCATGACTTGGAGAAGATCAGGAGCGGCGTGCGATTCTTGAGCCATCCTGACGTCCAGGTAGACCCTTCGACATGCGCCAGAGTATGATGGTTCGTTTGCAGGCAACACCTCTTTCCGAGCGCTTGGCATTCTTGGAGAAAAAAGGCTTGTCCAGGGCAGAGATTAACGCTGCAATAGAGCAGCACCACCAAGCGACCCCCCTCGCGGCACCCGGACCACCCCAGTCCATGCTGTCCTTCGCGTGGTCCTTCTTATTCCCAGTGATAAGTACGGCCACGTTGATGGGTGTTCTGTGGAGGTTCCTGCGCAACGACGACGTGTCAAGTGATGGCAGCGACGCCGTGGTACCCCAACCAGCCAAATCGCCACTGGAGCTTGCTCTGGAAGCTCAGACGGACGAACTTCGCAAAGTTGTCCAGCTCCTCCAAGACGAGACCAAGTCTCGTCGGGTGCAGTCTGTCGAACAAATCGAGCACGCGCGTGAGATTGCGAAACTCCAAGCTGAAATCGCAGCCTTGAAGGTGAAGCTAAGTCACTTGGACGACACCAAGGAGGTCTCGCAGGGGGGTGCGAGCAATGCTGCCCAAACGACAGCGACCTCAACCGATATCACGTCACGTGATGCGCATGATAGCGCCACCGAATTCCACGAGCAGGTTCAAAAGCTGCTGGACGCCTTGGACCTTGTCGCGCGCGACGTAACGACTTGTGCACATGGCCAGTCTGCTGTAGTGCATTTGTTTAGAATTCCACCGATGTTATCAAGCAAGCTGGAGCGGTGCTGCTCATGTACACGAAGAATTTGGTCGAGGTAGGCGTTGGGCTTTGTTGGATACAGGTCCAAATGTGTTGTAGCATCCTGAAGTCCCTCGCTACCGCCGCATTGCGACTGGAAATGCGAATTTCAAGCAAAAGATCGAGCGGCTTGTGGTACCAGATCTCGCCTGTTTGTTTGGTGAATGTGTGCAAAGTGTGTTTCTTGCGCTGTAGCATTACGACGTCCTGCTCACGAGCATTGGGTTTGAGAAAGCAGGCATGAACTTTGAGTGGAAGTGGCACGCGGCGCCTGCCTTGGACAAGTTTGTCGACATTTTGAAAGCTGCAAGCCATGCGTTCGAGAATGCCATGTCACCGACGCCATCGTCCGATTCGTTGGCCGAGTGTGCGCGCCGACAGCTGCTCAATAGTGTCCAGCCAAGCGGTCCACAGCCCCCGTCCCCAGTCGTGCAAGACTCCACTACAGACTCTCCCCCGAGCAACTTGGCGACATTTCTCAACAAGTTGAAGGGCCAGGACGAATGTACGAGCGGTAGGGTCACCCCCTTTTCTCCAACGTGCACTCGATTCAAGCGTGTGCTGTTCTAGCACGGACGGCACAGCCAGAACCAACGTACCCCGCGTCGTTCACGGAGGTTGTGAACTTGATCAAGAAGGGAGACCCGTAAGGCTGGCCTTGTCGCACCACTCATTTTCCTTTTTCAATGCACTTTTCCGATGGGATTGGTAGGGTGCCAGGGATCCGAGAGATTGAAGACAAGTTGTCGAGCGATGCAGACAAAGTGCTGCTGGAGGCACCGGCGTCCGACGTCGTGGCCAAGCCTTGGAGCACTTAGATGCGGTCATAAATTGTAACGAGAATGGCCCGGCACACGCTGAGGAACAATTCCCAGCTCGCGAGCAAGTGCAGCCGCGTGTCGTCCGCATTCAAATACCACACGTCAATCGAGCCGAGAGAACTAGGCACACCACGAATCAGTCCACCGAGAATCGCGAGTCGACGTCCCCACTCGATCAACGCTGAAAAGATGACGTCGATGTCATCGAGGCGGAGCTTGGAGTCCTTGAACACGATCCCGGCCGCATCGACAAGGTCTTCGATCAAGTCTTTGAGTTCCTTGGGCTGGGACAAACCGGCCCCGATCGCCAACAGCTACAAAGCAACCACCGCACGGTCGGCCGCGACAACGACGACGCTGCGGTGCGTACCCCACGAATCACGACCAGCATTTTCAGCCCCAGGTGCTCCAGTTGATTGCCGTGCAACGACACTTGCAACACCGACTAGAACAACGTCGTCACGAGAGGAGATTCACTCGAGAAACGCACCATGACGAGGTTGCGATACTCGTTGAGGGTGTCGGCATCGTTCAAAAAGTGCGCCTTCAAATCTCGCAATGAGTTGGTCATGCGCTGGTTGAGATCGACGCCGACGCATGCGCGGGCACTCATGGGCGTGACGCGGGCTTCGAGGAAGGCCAAGTTGGGCCAGTCGAGCGACGAGTGCCCGTCCTACGTGGGGTTTTACTGAGTCGACGCTGCGTCATGACCACGCATGCACGGACGTTGGAAAGCGTCGAGCTCATTTCGTCGCCTCGGCGATGCCGCCGTAAACACAGGAGCGACGAGCTCTCGGTGAGCACAGAAAACGACAGAGGTTTCACCGAGGCGGCGGCGTCGAGTTTCGAGTGGTGATGTCGTTTGGTCGATGGAGCGACCCAATGGCCCATGAGCAGTGCGGCAAAGAACTGCACGTCGTGCCAAGACAAAAATCCCACGAGCTTGTGCGACGGATGCACTTCGAAGCGCCCATGCAGCAAAAACACCACGCACGCATACTTGGCCGCCAGCTTCTCCGAGATCAAAAACTGTTCGCAGATGAGCCGAGTGAGCGGACCCTACGCACGTCATCGGACCCATCAAATGCGGGGGGGGGCGTGTACGGATGCAGATGTACCTGAAAATTCTTCTCTTCCAGGAACACATACACGCGACGAAGGTTTTCAAACTGGCGTCGACAGCTACGACGGGATGGTCAGAGCCCTACAACGTCGCGTTCGGTTGTATACTGACTTCTTCAGCGTTCGAAGCGAGTTCTCGCTCACTTCGTCCAAATCTTTCTGCGCGCGGGACGTGAGCTTCTTGCCCAGAAGCCTCCGTACGACGGCTCCATCAAACCCGTAGTACTTTTCCGTCATCTCGAGCTGTTGCCATGGTGGTATTTGGAACAGCAGCTGCGTTCGTAGGAGAAGCGGCTGCATCAAGTACATCTCGAGCTTCTCAAAGAGGCGGTACTGGTCGACAGTGTCCCGCCAAATCAAGTCGCGCAACTGGTCCAGCTCGTTTGTTTCACTATAGTCCAACGTGGACGACACAGGGGGTGGGTGGGCATACGACCGGAAGCGAATCTCCAAAGCATTCGATGTGTTCTGTCCCTCGAGCCACAGCGCGAACACGTCTTCGCTCAGCAAGACCGGGTCCGTCAGGAACGTGTCGAAGATCTCGCGCATGGCGCGGCACACACCACCCTAGATAGTATTCCTATCCATTCTGGCCGCAATTACTAACAGTATTACTAAATCAGTCGACAAAAAAAGGCCATCAGCGAGAAGACAATTGCACAGACGCGACCATATTTGCGTGCGGCGGGATCATCGAACACCCCAAGCAATGCTGGCAATCGTGCTCGTGCTCGTGGCCGGGTCCATGGTGTCCGTGGAGCCCGCTTGTGTCTACTCTACCCTTGCTGCAACCAAAGTCGTCGTCGCGGACAAGTCACTATGTCCATCCGGGAGCGAGACGTGTGTTGTCGACAGCACGACGTGCGCGGTTGAAAGCGCGGGGTCGTATTGGGACGCCATCGGCTACTTTAAGGACATCTCTACGACGTATACGGCCTGGTGAGGTCCTTTTGACTCGAGCCGCGTCGTCTTACGTCGAACAGGGGTTTCGACGGCAGTGGCCCGGCGACGGTCAACTTGCAAATGGCAGAATTCCCCGACCGACTGACGGACCTGTGTGTTATTTCGTTCAGGATGACGCTCATCGTCTTGTAGAGCATTCCGGGGCTTGACAATCGTCCCGCCATACAAGCCAAAGCAATGGCCGTCGAACTTGATCAAATTGTACGCCTCGACGACGACGCGTGCTCACCGCTTGACGCTCTTGGCAGGAACGTCTCGTTGGCCAGCATCAAAAACATCAGCGACTTGTATCCGCTCCCGTCCCAGCTCAAGATGCTGTACGTGAACTCCCTGGACGACGGCATTCCCCCAACGTTGCTGGGTCAGGTTTGTCCCGTCGAACTCGCTAACGTCCAACGACGAATTGCAATCCCTTCCGCGATCGATCACGAAACTGTACGCGTCCATTCACGTGTGGCACATGAACCCACGTCCGTAGGTCCATCCAGGGCAATCGGTACAAGAGCTTTGCCAACTTGAACTGGACCAACATGACCCTCGTGTACGACCATGCGTGCTCGTGCCACCATTCACGCTGCATGTAGGTACCTCAACGGGTGCTACATGCTGCAGTCGATGGACATGGTTCGCTTCAGCTCGGCCATTGAAAACGTGTACGTCTCGCTCGTCCATGTTGATGCGACCGAGTGTTCGTTCTGTGAAGGGATGTGTCGGAGCTGACGATCACGCGATGGATCATGGACAACAGCACATTCATGGCGCTCAACTCGCTTCGTCCGTACACGACGACGGCGGCCGACGACGGGTATCGCCACTACATGGGTTACGGCGCCACAGCGACCACGATTAAGACGTCGGGTGCTGACTGCGGTCCACGCAACGGGATGATCCAAGAGCTATGGCCAGACAAGGCATTGCGCTCCTCGTCTTCCAGTGCGTTCACTGTCTGTGTTGTCAAAGGTATGGGTCGCCGCCGAGTGGTTTGCGCGGCTCAGTTGCATGGTTGCAGACGCGATCGACGTGCCATCGACGTCCGCCCCCGCCCCATCCACGTCCGCACCTGCCATCTCCACCACCACCCAACCACCGATGCTCACGTCGCCGACATCGCCGTCGAATACTGGCATGGTGGTTGGTGTCGTTGTTGGAGTCGCGGCAGTCCTGGGGTTCGCGTGCTTTTGGTACATGCGGCGTCGACATCGCGACAGTCGACCCAAACAACCAAATGTTGACGACGTGCCATCATCCATGCCGCCGCACCCCACGACCCCCCAAGCGCAGTACACTCCATTCAAGACGCCATCCGTGCGGCGCCCGAGCGACAACACCTGCGATTCCATCGACCTGCGAGCGCTGGCCTCGATCCGTCTGAACGAGCGCGACGTCCACCTGCACGACATCATGGGCACTGGCGCGTTTGCCAACGTGTGGGCCGGATCGTTTCGCGGGGACGCCGTCGCCGTGAAGGCGCTGCTGTCGACTTGCGTAACCCCGCACCATGTCGAGTCGTTTGTGGCCGAGATTCAACTCATGGCATCGTTCCATTCGCCGTATATCGTTCGTGTGGTGGGGGCGTGCTGGACCGCCCCGTCCGATCTGAAATGCGTCATGGAGTTCATGGACGGCGGCGACTTGAAACACTACCTCGACACCCACACCGCCGCCGCGTTTCCGTGGGTTCAAAAGTACCGCCACATGCACAGCATCGCGGAAGGCCTCGCGTACTTGCACGCCCGAAACGTGATCCATCGAGACATCAAATCGCGCAACGTCGTCGTGGATTCGACCCACGGAACCAAACTGACCGACTTTGGCACGTCGAAGGAGGACATTTTGGCCACGATGACGATGGGCGTCGGAACATTTCGTTGGATGGCGCCCGAGGTGCTGCAGGACGCGGGGTACACTATATCCGCCGACATTTACTCGTTCGGTAAGGCAGCGTGCTCGATAAGGTTGCCGCTGACGGCCGCGGTGGCAGGGATGGTCCTGTCCGAGCTCGACACGCACCATGCGCCGTATGTGGACCATGTAAATCCCGCGAACGGCCATCCCGTCGCCGACGGCGCCGTCATCCTCAAGGTCATCAACGGCTCAATCAAGCCAACGTTTACGCCAGAGTGTCCGCGGTGGGTGTTTGACCTCGCGATGCGGTGCCTCGACTTGGACCCGACGAACCGACCGACGGCCATGCAAATCTCGTTTGAAATCGGCAAATTCCTCCACGATCTCTAGCGCGATATTTGCACTGGTCTGCGTGTGTGGTTTGCAAATCGCATCGATCGCTCCCATGTGTATTATCTTTGGGTCATGCTACTGACACAATGGACGGCGTGTTTCTACGACCGAGGGCCGTTGCTACGCTTGGCTTGCAGAACTTGAGCAGGACGCAGCAGTCCGCTCGAGGTTTTAACAGGAGCGGCAGTCGGCGCGGCTGGCTGCCGCGCTGGGCGGTCGGCAGGAGGAAGGGGGGGTTGACTGTACAATTGGGATGGAGCACCGGCCGGAAGCGGGGACGGTCCACCTGAAAACGGAGCGCGCGATGATCGAGTTTGCAACGTTGTAAAGTACTGCGCCATCGAGTTGGCCGGGGTATTCAGGTCTTGGTGGAAAGATGTCGGCTTGGTTTGTTGGGTCCATTTGGAGAGGAGCAAATGCATCTTGTCGGTGGACGGTGGCGGTGGAGCCACCACGTTTGGCACACGCGATGCAGCTGGTCGAGGCGGCGGCGCCGTCTGGGGGACCGTCGTCTCGACCTGGATTTGCGGCACCGGGGCTTGTGTCGGAGCCGGGGCTTGCTTTGTCGGGGTGCGTTGGTGCGTGTGGGTGGTTTTCTCGGGAGGGGTCGACACAACCAAAAGCGTCGCCCACTGCACGAGCTTGCCTCGATACGGAGAGCAGCTTCCGCTGAGCGACGTGCCGCCGCTAAACTTGGTGTCGAACACCACTTCGACACACGCCGTCGCTTGATGCGTGGCGACGACTGTCCCGCGCAAGCCAAACGGAACGCCGCGGGCGCTCAAGTTGACGACGCGGTCGCCGAGTCGCGGCACGCCGTGCACAAACGCCGACGACGACAGGTCGTAGTTGGACTCGACGCGTCGAAACAGCGCCGTCGGCTCGACCTCCACCACCACGTGGTCGAAAACGTGGTGAGCCAGCGTGTCGCTGGCCTTTTCAATGGCCTTGATCGCGGCGCGGGGCACCGTCTCGGACGAGATCGGGATCAGCGGCAGCGGGGCAATGTCGAGCTGGGTGAGCCACGTCTTGATGCTTTCGAGGACGCTCTTCACGGCCGCCAGCGGCACCCCCAAGAACGTCGTGCCATCGTACACGGGCGCGTACGGAAGCTTGTCCAGCGCCGAAAACACTCGAGGAAACTTGCGCTGGTACGCCAGGATCGTGTAAAACGCCTTGTCGCTGTACTCCCACACCCCGTCGTGCTCATGGCCGTCGCCAGCGGCGTCGCTCCCGACAATCGATACGCTGTCCCCGGTCGTCCATGCGGCAACCTCGTCCGCCGCAGGCGCCTTGGACTGGTAGCGGCAGTACCCCGCCAGAGTCAGCTCCTTCTTGTACTTCATGTTGAGCCCGATGTCGTACCGCCCAGGGTTTACCAGCAGCGAGCCCGTAATGCGACCGAGTGTGCCTGGTGAAATCCCGAGCTTCTGGCCGATCACATAGCTCGAGTAGTACTTGTCCGAGATGGCGTGAGCTATGGCGTAACCAAACGGGGGCTCGGGAGCCGCGTTCGGGACTTTGACAGTGACCGTGTCTTCATGGTGACCAACGACGACGCCGGTCAACCCTCTGGACGGGCCGTGGAGCAGCACGACGGCCGCGTGAATCGGAAATCTCTCGGGCGTCGCGAGCGCCGCGGTCTCCTGGAAGCGGACGTCCACGAGGTGGTGGTCGAGCACTGCCAATTGGTACGGAATCTTGACCTGGACATGGCCAAATTTCTTGCGCGTCGCGCCGGTCGACTCGTCAACGACCATGCCCTGCAACACTTGCACGTGCAAAAAGCACGTCACGTCCCCAATCATGACGCCGCCCGTGCCTGGCATCCCTCGGCCATTCAAATAGCGACAGCTTTCGTCGATGGCGTGCTTGGTCCACTCGATTTGCTTGGCGGGGGGGTGCTCGTCGACGGTGATAGCGCCGTCGGGGAAAGAGAGCTGGCACATCCCGTGGACCGTGCTCACACCGACGACCCGCGCTTCGTGCAAGTTTGGATAATTCACAAACACCTAGCGCCGCGTGAGTGTGTTTGCAGCGATCGACACGTGGGATTCATGTACGGTGGTGCCGAGAAGCGGCTTGGCTTGGTCTAGCGTCAACGCATCCCGCGGCGCCACACGCAGCACGAGCGTTTTCTTCTTGGAGCTCATGCCAAAGCAATTGACGCCGACATCGCGCAGCGCCGACTCGACGACGGGCACCGAATACAGCGACGGAAAGCCCGCCAGCGGCATCTCGACGCCGTCCGTGAGGGTGCAGCGAAAGTTGGTCCGTGGCGGCAGCGTGTACACGTCCATCCGTGAATGAGACAACGGAATGTCGTCCAGCACCCCCGGCAGCGTCGAATGCACCGTGTCCATCGCGCCCACGTCGTACGAAAACATGTACGCGGACCCCGCTTGGTTTCGCACCCGTTCGAGGTCGGTCAAATGCGCGTCTGGGCAGTGCGCCGCGATCGCGTCGACAAGCAGGCTCGCATCGATGAACGGCAGCAAGTTGACGCCTTCCCACTCGTTCCGTTTGCCGTTCATGTCAATGTCGAATTGGATCGGGTAAAAGTGCGCGATCGGCGAGGTCGGGTCGACCATGAGGTGCTGGTAGGCCGGCGGCACGAGCGACGCACTGGTCGGCGGCAGCGTCGACAAAAGTTGCTGGAACGGCAGGAATGGCGCGCCCATGTCAAATTCAATCCGTCGCACGATCGCAGCGATGTCAGTCAAGTCCGACAGCATCGGCGAGTAATGGAACGGGTAGAACCAACTCCACGACGGCACGCCTTGAAAATAATACCCCGCGCACCACACGAGCGCTTCCACGTACGCTACTTTGATGTCCATGAGGAGGTCGGGCATGGTGTCGCGCACTCCAAACTTGGCAGCGTAGTATGCCCATTTCGTGGCTTGGAACGCGGGGCTGCCGCTGAGGACGACGACGGCATCGTCTAGCGCTGGCGCGTCCGCCGCAGCCATTGCGGCGACCAAATTGCGATCGAATTCGTCGTCGTCATCGTCGAGTTCTTGCTCGTGTGGATGAGTCGGTGACGACCCGCTGCGGCCGTACCCGTTGCCATACCGCTTGCGATCGCGAAACTTTTTTTCGTCGTCGACGCGCTTGGTCAAGATGGCTTCTTCCATGTCGCCGATGGCGCGGCACAGCGTTTCGAGGTGCTCGGGATGGCGCAGCACGCCGCTGTCTGTGAGAAAATCCCCCCACTGGGGAAGCAGGTCCCGGTACACCGTCAGCATGAGTGCGATCGCGTCCTCCGAGATGTCGAGTGTCGGACTGTGCGGAATGAAATCGTTGCCGAGCAAAAACGTGAGAAAGATAAAGTCGTCGAGCGCGCGTTCGGCATCAAACCAGTCGACCTAACGTCAACCCCGCGTTGTTGGTCACAAAGACGATCGTTGCAGACGGAGGGGATTTCCCTACCGGGACATGCAACTCGATGCTCAAGTACTGCCGAAAGAGACTCAAGTGCACCAACTGCCACTGCTGCTCCTTGGTCTGGCGCGCCACGATCTTCTTGGCCGAGTTGTCTGGCTTCCGCGACCCGCTGCCAAATTGGACCACTTCACGGACGAGCGTGAAGTGCGGCTCGTGCGTCATGACACCGAGGAGCATCAAGTCCGCGTCCGACCCGTACATGCAATGGCGGACGTTGGGGGGGTACCTATGCACACGTGCGTGAGTCGATGGGGATGGCAAGAGAGATATACCCTGGCTGCATCTTGGTGCGGCGGATGTACTCGACGATCTTGTGTTCGCCTTCGCCGGGCACTTCCTGGCCGGAGAAGATCACGGTCAAGTTGCGCCACGACGGGTCGTCCTTGAGCTTTTTCCGAATGAAGTACTGCAGGTGGCTCGACAAACGATACATGAACTCTGTCCCGGGGGTGATGCAGTTCGAGTCGAACAGGGCTCTCGGCGACTCGTCCCCGTCGTTCGCTTCCTTCAGCCGCTTTTCGTACAAGTCCTTGCCCGCACGAAACCGACGACTCCGTTGCTGGTTCAGCTTGGCTCGAGGCGCGACGCCATCCACGGCCAGGAACAAGAGCTTCTTTGGCTTCACGATTTGCGTCACAATCCGGTCGATGTACGCAAAGATGGCCGGGATGTAGTGCGCCTCGCCCATCTCTTCGCTCACTTCCTGGTCGATCGGGTGGGTGCATTGATGCACAATGCCGTTCAAGTCCAAGTACAGGTTGTCAAACTCCGGCAGCAACGACACATCGCTGATCTGCTGGTTGATCTGCGGGTAGCGCTCGCTTATCCATCGGTAGAAGCGCGGAATCCCCATGATGGCCTAGCGCGATGGGTCCCGGAACAACTTTGCCGACCGACACTCACGACCCCACACTTTTGGCACTCTCGACTCTCACTCTCCAAACGTACGCCACTCTCTCCGCACTCCTCCTGCGCCGCCGCCGCCGCCGCGGAATCCTTGCATGAGCCGCGTGAACGTCCTGTACGAGCAAGCATTCAAAGCTGCCGAGGACGGCCATGCGGCCGAATCGGGAAACGACGCAGCGCTGGCAATCCAACACTTTGAACAGGCCGTGCAATTGTTTACCCGCCTTGCGTCGGTCGAGTCGTTGTCGAAGCGGACGCTGCTGCACGAACACATCCAAGACTTTCAGCAGCGCATACAGGATCTTCGGAGTGGCAACGACGTGCCTGCGATTCCACATGCAGAAGTGTGTTCTCGTCCGCGTCCAGAATCCACGACAGACGACGACGGTCGGCTGCCAGATGCACTCACGGCCGATCCTCGATGGCTGTACGCGACTCGGCTGGAACAAGAGGCTGCATCAACAGAAGCCATGCGCAACGTTGCGCTTCCCGTTGTGATGGATGCGTACATGAGAGCCGCTGACGAGTTTATGGAGGTGCGTCGACCGCCGCGACCAAATCGGCGCTCAACGTGCTGGACCAGATGCTGCGCGACAAGTCCGTTCCTGACGACGCGTGCCAGTGCATCCGGCGCAAAGTAGAACGTCTCATCGATCGCATCACGACGCTCAAGAATCAAGATCACGAGCTCGAAATGGAAGACTTGATGATGGAAGCAGACCTGCTGTTCCACGTCGACTACGCGAGTACCCGCATGGATCATACACTCTCGTGCACCTCACTGCGCCATGTAGAAGTGAAACGCAAGGTACCGGATGCAACCTCGCTACACCACCAGCAGCACGCGATCCCCCACGATCCGGGCCACGTGGCGGCATCCGACGTGGCGCCGCTGGCCAAATACACGGCCGAAGAAGTCGACGTCCTCCGGCGATCATCTGTCATCAACGGTCGGTTGTTTCAGCCGTGGATTGCGTCCGACGAAAAGTTTGACACGACCGAAGCGTTTACCGACCCCGACGGGCTCTTGAGTACGCCATTGCCGACCACCATGCTCGGTCCTAAACGCGCCGCGTCATGCAGGCATGTCGTCCAAGCAGTTGGAAAAACTCGCCAAGTGGGTCCGGCCGTCCGAGTACGGCACGGCGCCGCCCCGCATGGTGTCGCAGATCTCGCCGTACGTGATCGTCCAGGACGTTGTGACCGACTGCTCGTTTGTCGCGTCGCTGTGCATCACGGCAGCGTACGAGATGCGCTTCCACAAGCAGCTCATCACGAACATCATTTTTCCCCAGGTCGTTGTCGTTTGCATCGGTGCCTGTTTCACGGACGCGCGTGTAGGATCCAAACGGCGCGCCCATTGTCAACCCAGGCGGGAAGTACGTGGTCAAGCTGTGGGCGAACGGCGTCCCACGACGCGTGGTTGTCGACGATTACTTGCCGCTGGGACACTCTGGCTCGCTCCTGTGCTCGTGCACGACCGAATCGAACGAACTGTGGGTACGAACGATCGCGATCGTGGCGGCATCTTGACCGTTGTGTGCATGCAGGTCAGCATCATCGAGAAAGCGTACTTGAAGGTGAATGGCGGGTACGACTTTCCTGGAAGCAACTCGGGCATCGACGTGTTTGCGCTCACGGGATGGATCCCGGAAACGATTTCGTTTGCCGACCCAGGCGGCGGCGACACGTCGGCCGACATGGTGTGGCAACGGCTCATGTCGGCGCACAACTTTGGCGACTGCCTCATTACGATCGCGACAGGGGACTTGCCCAAGGCCGTGGTAGGTGGCGCAAACCACATTGTGACGTGACTGCGTGGTAGGCAAAGCAAGTCGGCCTCGTGCCATCGCACGCGTACGCGGTGCTCAACGTGGTCGAAACAACGTCGACTCGTCTGCTGTTGGTGAAAAACCCGTGGAATCGAAAGCGGTGGCGCGGTCCGTACGGCATGGACGACGTCGATCGGTGGACACCCGACCTCGACCGCGAACTCGGCTTGGATGATGGGGACGCGTCGCGGCGGCGGCGGCGGCACACGCGTGACGACGGGCTGTTTTGGATCGACTTTGCGTCGGTGCAGACGTACTTTAGCGCGCTCTTCCTCAACTGGAACCCCGACCTGTTTCGGTACCGCTTCACCATGCACAAGCACTGGCCGGTCGACGGCGGCCCCGAAAACGACACGTACAACCTCGGGTACAACCCGCAGTACGCGCTGACATTTCCCACCCTCGATCGCAAGACCAAGGTACGTCGTGCTGCTCTCGTTCTTCGTGCCGACGTCATCGTCGTCGTTGACGTGTAGCCGTTCTCGGTGTGGATCCTTCTATCGCGCCATGTCACGGCCGTCGAGGCGCCGACGACGGTGCAGCCGTTTTTGGCGCTGCACGTGTACAAGCAGCGAAGCCGCGTGTACTACCCAAACAACGCGTTTGCGCGCGGGACGTACAGCAACAACCCGCACTCGCTGACGTGCGTCGACGTCGAGCTCACGGCGGACGGACCGACGACATTCATCTTGGTCGCGTCGCAGTACGAGAAGCTCGCGCCGCTCGATTACACGATCTCGGTGTTCTCGACCGAGGGTCCATTCGAGCTCACGACGGCGCCGGAGCCGCCGCCCCACCGCATCCACGTCATGGATGCGTGGACAACCGACACGGCGGGCGGGAGTCCCAAGTACGAGAGATTGCACACAATGGCGTCACGTTTTGGCGTCATATTGGATAGGCATGCGACGTTTGTCAACAACCCGCAGTACCAACTCGTGATCGACGACGCGTCGATCGAGCGCATGCTGCTGACGCTGGAAGCGCCGCCCGCCGTCGAGCTCGCGATCAACTTGCGTCTTGTTCGTGGCGACGGACAGCGCATCGGGTCCGTGTCCAAGAAGAGTGTGCGCGCGCAGTCGGGCGAGTACCGCCCTGGGTTTTGCTACATGGAAGTCGAAGCCGTCGAAGCCGGGACGTACACCATCGTGGCGTCGACATTCGAGCCGCATCGAACCGGGTCGTTTTCGCTGACGGTGGCGGCAACGTCGGCGGCCTTTCAAGTGCTTACGTTGCCGCCAGAAGGCCACAACATGATTCCGTTTGTGTGCAGCGGCAAGTGGAATGTGGAGGTTGGCACGGCCGCGGGGTGCTCCAACTATGGCCACTACCTCGACAACCCGCAGTTTCTCGTGCACGTCATGTACGTCCAGCAACGATTGCAACGAGGCCAACCATGATGTGTGTGCAGGGCAACGTGCCAGCTCTTTTTTCGATTGCGCCAACGTGGCGCGGCGTCGTCAACGATCAACGTGTCGCTGTACCCATGCACGTCGACGGGCCAGCTGCACGATCCCCATTGCAACCCGACCACGGCCTTTGTCACGTCCGCGAAAGGGTCGTATACAAACAGCGCGTGCGGCGTCCGCACGCCGGCCGCCCAGTTTCCGCGAGGGTTCTACTTGGCGATCCCGTCGACGTTTGATCCGCACCACGGCGACTTTGACCTGCACGGGTACTCGGACGCGCCCGTTGTCACGACTAGGTTGCGATAATCTGTTTTCACGCGTTATGGCCATCCAAATGCATTTTGTCAGGTCATGGCGACGCCGCCGCCGTAAAAGAACGCGTCGACCGCCGCCATGTCGTCGACGTAGTGAAATACGATCGAATCCCTCGCGCAGCACTCGGTGCCGTTCTTCCATCCGATCCCGACGTGGTCCGAGTACCAGTTTTGCGCGTCCCAGATCGAGTCGAACATTGTGTGATCGTAGTCGTCCGGGTCGTCGGGCCAAAAGTACACTTGCTCGGGCGAGTACTGGTGGAATCGCTCGCGGCCATGGCGGTCGCGGGTGTCTCTCGGAGCAACGTGTTCATGCAGCATGCAAAACGACACGGCCCAGTCGTCGGGAACGACGGCGTGCGGGATGCAGAATGGGTCGTCCAGCACGTCATGGAGACGAGCGAGGTACGCGCCATTGAAGGCGTAGCCAGCGCCGCCGGGGGTATAGTACAGCCCACCTGCGCACAGTCACTGTCATGTCTCGATCCAAGTGCCCTGGGGACGGTTCACCCACCCACCTTGGTCTTGCGTGGCTTGTGTCACTTTATCGAGAAAGTGCCTGTGGACAGTGTGACGCTGGGTTGACGCGAGAGATGGCGGACGAACCTGTACGAGCGCGGCATGGCGGTTGGATCCCCAAACGCTTCATGCATGATCCAAGGCTGCAGCGTCATCCTGTGCCCAAAAATCGCGGGCCTGTCTCGATCTTGCCGCGCGAGAAAGTACTTCAAGTTGTCCATAATCACGTACGAGTCGTCGTCGCATTTGAAAATCCAGTCGTACGATGCGGGATCGAATTCTCGGGCGAGAACTCGAACGACGTAGCGGTGCTTTTGCCACAAGTGCTCGTGCGTGGGCGGTGCCACGACTCGGACCGTCGGAATCGTCGGGTCTTCGACATTGCTCATGAAGAGCAGTTTGTCGCACCGGCGGCCCCATGTGGACTTGATTGCTCTTGCACGGTCGTGTGTCATGTTGAACGTGTTGACCCAACACAGGACTCTCAATTGCTCTGCGTCGGGACTTGTGTGCAGTGACACCAACTGTAGCGCCGGCAAATTCGTGCCGAGTCTGCGCTCCAGCCGCGTCGCGTTGTCGGGAGTCACGTATTGCTTAGCATTGTCCTTGTACCGGAAGTCTCGCTCCTCAGCGCATGCGTTCATGAGCAGCGCCACAAGGATGCCGACGGCGGTCGGTCTCACGCAGCCAGGACCTCCCATCACACGCTCGCCGTGGTGTCCGTTCCTGGAAAAGATCGTTGTCCTCACACTTTCCGTACGAGGGTTATCCGGACGCCATTGTCCATTGCAGCATTCTGACTGGCAGGAATTCATCTCTCTTTCCATCAAGCACCGACGGAGCGATGGCGGAAGCGCAGCTGAACGAGCAGCAAGTGATTGCCACGTACAAAGGCATGAGGAACGAAGTGCGGCAACTTGCCGAGAAGCATGCCGAGCTGGAACTGGAGCTCCATGAACATCAACGCGTGGCAGACACGTTGAAGGGATACGACGGCTCCCGCCGTGCGTTCCGTATGGTGGGCGGCGTCCTCGTCGAGCGCACCGTAGCAGAAGTATTGCCGGCCGTGGCCAGCAACGCCGAGGGAATCCAAAAACTCATCGTGCAAGTCGCGGACCTGCTAAAGCAAAAGGAAGCGGCAGCGAACGCGTGGCAGGCCCAGTACAACATTCGTTCTCAATAAACGTTGCCGTTGTTGTCGGATAGGCGCACTGCTGGACGCTATGAATGCATTTGCGACGCCATGACTTTCCTCTGTAGCATGCAAGTCAGTCGAGGCATGCAATCGAGATCGACCCCTTACTTGCAATGCTAAGTTGATGGCTTTCACGTGGTCGTACTTGCTGTTGGCCAAGGTGATCTTGTCCTCGGCGGTGGTTTGCTGTCGCTCGAGCATGGCCTTGAGTACTTGAATGACTTGGTCCTTTGTCATCCCCGCTACGTCAGCGCTCCACTTTCACCACACAAAACAAACCTTTTGCTTGAGCGCCTTCTCCAACTCGGCAACGCGCTTCTCGTCGTGGCTACCTTCGACCGGTCCATGCGGCGGTACACAGACTGGCTGCGCCGTGGATCGGTACTTGTCCAGCGCAATACTCCACGTGAATTTGAGGTCGTCAATCTCTTTCGCGTGTAGTTGGGTTTGCCGATCGAGTTCGGCCGCGTGCCGCTGGTCCCACTCGGCCAATTGCTACCGTCGTGTTCGTTAGGTCGATATTCATTCCATGGGCAAAACCATTTTGAGCTCCTCGACGTGGCGTTCCAACTGTTGCGTGTGCGCTGTTCGCCGCCGGAGGTCATCCACTGTGCCTTCCAGTTCAGCGCTGGATGCCGTCATCGCCCTGAGCTGGTCGTCCGCGTCTTGAACCTTGAGCTCCAGCGCTTCGACTTGAGTGTGCAACTCCATATTTAGCTCGCTCGACGCCTTTCTGTCCGTCGCGTACTTGGAGATACGTCTCTACCACGGCAAGCATCGATCGAGGTCGTCGGCACGCCGTCCATCGCACCTGCAGTTCATGTTCCCACTTGCGCCGTTCCTTTTCAAACGCGAGGATTTGGGATCGCTGCACGTGCATTTGCTTGTGCAAACTCGCATTGATCTCTTTCTCGACCGTCAATTCGCGGTGGTACCACCACGCCTTGGCCCGCGATTCCCGCAACGCGACGACGTCCCCCTGCAACCGGCGGACGTTGTC